CTTTAGTTCTTGTTGTGTACTTCATCACCGGACCGTAAAAAACGCATATAAATATAAAGTTTGCATTATCTTCTAGCACACATGTACAGAGAGACTGAGGAGCAGAATCGCCTGGTTGACTGGCGAGGTCCGGACCTCAGTAATTATTTCCTAACAAGCCCACCGTCTCCGCTTGACCCTGACAGCCATCAATAAGGCCACTGTCTGTGGTGGTGAGGTGACTGGAGAAGGCAGATAGTGAGGCGCACCATGGCTTCTCACAGCACAGCTATGATCACTGCAGCGATGAGACAAACAACAACTTAGTGAAACTAAAATCTTACTTGCTGATATTTCTGAAACTATTGGCACTCTGTTGTGCAAATTCTTTAATACAAGTTGATGTTATATTTCTACAACCGATAAGGATAATGTCATCAGCTGCTCCACAGCTGAACACGAGTGTCCATAGCAGAGAGTCCGGCCCTCTCCTGTGAGACAGCACTGATGAAATATTGAGCTGCATTTGATTTAAGATTTGAGTTGGTTGCTTACAATTTACAAGTTGGTGTAGTTATGGCTCACTAGCTCAAATAACACTGCTGGTTTGACTGTTTATGATGAAGTGGATCTATAGCCTGTGGTTTGTCAGAGTTGGTGAGGTTTACATTTGTGTGGACAATAACACACAGTAGTGACATTTATGCCTTATCAAAAGTGTTTTTCTGTTAGTAGATTTTTATTCTTGTAATATTAACATTTGTTTCTCAAAATATTTAAACCATTACCTGACTTCCCATGAAACACAGATATGAGGGATGTGTATTCAATGTCAAGAAAGTTTTTTACATGAGCAGAAATCTGTCTGAAACACATATGAGCTATTCAGTGCCAGAGCTTTATAAATGAATTCATATTATTATCTGCATGCTCCTGCGAGGTAATTAAGTAAACACTGCAGATCAGACTGCGCATGCGCACATGTGAGAAACCATACAAAACAACATAAGAGCCAAACAGGTTTGTTTGGGGGTTTTATTGGAAACTAACTATAACCCATTTCAAGACGAAAACATACGCAACCGGTCTGCCGTCCACTGCTGTGCAGGTGACGTCATGCAGAGCAGCATTCCTGAGTATGTTTTGTTAAGGGTTATGTGGCTAGTGCCGGGAAAACCCCACCTGCCTGGTGCTTAAGCTGTAGGCGTGGCCTGGGTTTGACTGCACAACCAGAAGCCTTCCATATTTGATATCTGGACGCTTACTGCAGCAGAGGACACTTACTCCTGAGGTAGGCACCATATGTATTGTTTCAATGATTGGATTATAACTTCATGTTATGTTAAACCAAGTGTACACACATACATCAGGTGACCAAAATGCTGCTTTTATACACATTGTTGTTTCAGTCCTCCTGTCATCTTTCTACTTCATGTTTTATGCAGACTCTCCATTTACAGTAATGATCCATAATTCCTGGGAGAAATTGAACAAAAAAAAACACTGGTTTAAAAAAATAAATGAAAAAAAACATGTAGAGGCTACAGGTTTTTATGTAGGTTACACATACCAGCTAAGTTAGAACTCATATGAACAATCATATTGTGCTTGCATGTAGCTAATTAGACTGTGTGTAAATGTTGGCATAACAGAGTTTGATTTCCTTTTCCATTATCATTATTATTTTTGTACAGCTTTAGCTTCCTTGACGGTGTAACCTGTTGAACAGGCACGATGGTGAACTGCTGTGGTCTGCTCAATACAAATAAGGAACCAGGTACAGTGCTGTTTGAAAAAACATAAACAACTCATACATCATGTGCAAGAATGATTGTGGTGTGTGTGAATACATTTGCTTGTGTATGTTCGTCTATGTAAAGGTTTGTGTTTGAGCCTCATGGCAGGAAGTGGCTTTTACAAACATCTCTAAAACTGAATACACAAGTTACACATGTATTCTAGAGGTGAATGATTAAATGTAGCAATTCAGGGACTTTATTTACGTACCATCAACCATTCACAAGTATTGTCACCCACAAAACACAAAGACGTTTTCACACAGTCTGTGTTCATTGCGTGTCCTTCTGTTTCCCGCTCAGTTCCTCTGAAGAGCGTGGAGGTGGAGCTGGAGGTGAGGGACCATGTGGCTACAGTGGTCTCCACTCTGCACTATGAGAACAAGGAGGACAAACCACTAGAGGCTGTTTTTGTCTTCCCTCTGCCTGGAGATGCTGCTGTCTGTCATTTCAGTGCTAAGATTGGACAGATACACATTGTAGCTGAGGTGAAGGAGAAAAAGGAGGTGAGCTGGACACTAAAGACTTACTCACAAAGGAGCTCTAAAACACAGTAAACGTTGCTCACATGTGTCATCTGTATTTCAGGCTCGTGAGGAGTATGACGATGCTTTGAGCTCCGGTCAGCAGGCCTTCCTGTTGGAGGAGAGTGAGCAGAGTCCAGATATATTCTCTCTGAGTGTGGGCAGTCTGCCTCCAGGAGAGAGCGCCTCCATCAGGCTGGAGTACGTCACTGAGCTGGCCGTGCAGGCTGATGAAGGGCTGAGGTTTTGTCTGCCTGCTGTGCTCAACCCTCGCTACCAACCTCAGGGTAGGAAAACCAGCCAACACCTTCATCAGGAGCCCTTAAGCTTCAGCTGAGAGCGCACCACACCTGTCCATACAGAGGGGTTTATTGCATCAGTCATTGTGACGACAGAAGTATTGTCCTGAAGAGCTGCTTTTTAAAAACTTCAGTATTTTGAAAGAGGGCTGAAGTGGAAATGGTGTGTTCACACTGACTACCAGTGTTTACATACAAACATCCTTTTGTCTGGAAAAGATGGAAAACAAAGGGCTGAATATTCATAATGATATCCTTGCTAGCAGCATGGCACAAGGGAATAAAATGTTAGTCATTCAATCGCTTTGTTCCCGTGAAATATCTCAACTATTGATGAAGAATTAATATGAAATTTGGAACAGATAATTGTGTCCCCTTCACTCTATTTCTCTGTCGTCAGCAGCAAGTCACATCTTTCAGGTTTATGACCAAATACCTGCACAACAATTGACATTCCCATCAGCCTTAGCTGTACCTGGTGTTGGTGACCATTTAGTCACCAAATGTAAGCATGCTAACAAACAACACTTGGATGGTTAAAATGGTAAACATTATACCTGCTAAATGAAAGTATATTAGCATTGCCATTATAAGCATATTACCGTTAGCATTTAGACACGGAGCAGCTAGCTAGTTGTACTAGTAATTATTATTTATGTTGGATATGTTCATCCCTCTACTTCCTCACTGCTGTGATTAAAGCATTTCCTTTTTTAAAGATTTTTTATTTCCTGCATTTCCACCTTTTATTGGACAGTTTGACAGGAAACATTACATTACATTACAGTCATTTAACAGATGCTTTTATCCAAAGAGACTTACAATTCAGTCTATCACATTTCTACACCGTAGGCACAGCTACGGGAGCAATACGGGAGAAACAGGAGGAGAGAGAATGTATGATGTGCAACAAAGGCTACAATGGTGCTCCATGTCTGAACATTTTGACCTTGTTAACAGGGAGTGGTGGTAGTGAAGGTGGCAACGTTCAGGTGACCTCTGTTCCAGCCTCTCTGGTGCCCTACAGTCTGTCTTTCTCTGCCCGAGTGTCCTCTCCTCGTCCCGTCTCTAAAGTAGAGTCCAGCTGTCCCCTGGACCCTCTCCAGTACCTCAAGACAGAGCAAACCCAGGCCACGGTAGGTAGAGTTCTAGTGATGATTGTTAGATACGTATATCACGATATTTATATTCACGAGTGTGTTTTGTCAACTGCAGGTCAAGTTGGCTGCAGGACACAAGTTTGACAGAGATGTTGAACTGCTGATTTATTACAAAGACGCCCACCAGCCCACTGCTGTGGTGGAGGCAGGACAGGCCTCTTCCCAGCCTGGTGAGTGACCGTTAGTGAAGGTGTTTGCAAATAAAAAAAGGTCATTACATTCAGACTGATGCAATGAGTTAAATGTAAGTATTTAGATATTTAAATAGCTGAGTTATATATGTTGGAATAAATGATAAAAAGCCAGATGTGTGTTCTCTTCTCTGTGTTTCAGGCACTCTGATGGGTGATCCAGTAGTGATGCTGAGCCTGTACCCTGAGTTCCCCCCGGCTGTGATGTCTTCAGTCGCTTCATGTGCAGAGTTTGTCTTCTTATTGGATCGATCTGGCAGCATGAGTGGTGCACGTATAAAGAGTGCCACGGTACTAATGATGTGCTATTTCTATCATAGAACCATTCATCGTGTCTCTCTCACACAGTGACCGTCACTATCTTCTCTCTCCTCCCTTAAGGATACTCTGCTGCTGCTGTTGAAGAGCATACCACTAGGCTGCTATTTCAACATCTACAGTTTTGGATCCAGCTATGAACACATCTTCCCGTAAGTCACTCCCTCAGTCCAACAAATGTTGTTATCGCCTGTATTGTCACTTGTTGTTCATTGCTCCATGAGTTCATTCATGTGTTTCTGGTGACAGTAAGAGTGTAGAGTACAACCAGAAGACCATGGACGAAGCTCTGAAAAATGTTGAGGAGATGAAGGCTAATCTGGGAGGAACAGAGATCCTGAAGCCCCTCAAACATATTTACAGCCAGCCCTGCATTCCCAATCAACCTAGACAAGTAATACACACACACACACACACACACTCTCACACACACTCTCACACACACACACTCTCACACACACACACACACACACACACACACACATACGTGTTCAACAGGTTGTACCAATATCTCTTGTAGGTAATAGTATCATATCATTCAGTGAGAACCTCCTAATAACAGGTTCATTCTTACCACACCTTGTTCTTTAGAAAGTACCATTAACAGCACTTGTGTTACTGAAACAGCAATCTAACACAGCTCTCAGAAAGATATTTGGATGACTCAACACATGCTGCATGTTTGTTCTGTGTGATGTTATGTAGCTCAGAGTGATGTGTAAACTCTCCTCCCTAGATATTTGTCTTTACTGACGGAGCGGTGGGGAACACAAAAGAAGTCATCAATCTGGTGAAGCACAATTCAGGTTCCCACAGGTGACGCAACAAAAACCCGCACAATTTGCAAAAGTCCCATGTTCAGATGTTGTGTGTGTTAAAAACAGAACTACTGTATTGTAGGTGTTTCTCTTTTGGGATTGGGGAAGGGGCCAGCTCTGCTCTCATCAACGGGTTGGCCAAGGAAGGAGGAGGTCACGCTCAGTTCATCACGGGGATGGACAGGATGCAACCCAAAGTAAGACATCACAGCCTCAGTATCAATTTTATGAAAAATGCAATTAGGACAGACGACACAATAAGAAATGTAAATGAATACATTTATTCAGTGCCTCTCCCAACTTTCTGTAAATTGTTTTTACTCATCAGGTGATGCAGTCGCTGCGATTTGCTCTGCAACCAGCTGTGGTGGACATCTCAGTCAAGTGGGATTTGCCAAAGGGAGTTTCTGTCACTGTTCTCTCTCCACCAATCACAGCACTGTTCCAGGGTCAAAGGTCACTGGTTTATGCCCAGCTCACTGGACAGGTAGGAGCAGTAACATCTGATAGTGAACTTACTTTCTGGTTAGATTTCTCTATGATGCTATGAATGGTTTCTAACTCTGTGATGCTTTCTCAGAGTTCAGAGGCCTCAGAGGGCTGTGTGACGGTGAAGTACAGTCTGGCAGGTCATCCCTCTCAGAACCAGCTTCACTTCAGTCTCAAACCTGCTGAGGACACTGGGTAAAACAGTACTGTTATGTATTGGGTCCTGCCCTTACAAATGTTGAGTTTATTTTAATTATTTAGATCAAATAAAACTGTAGCAAGAGGTGAGAAACATGACACTATTTAATCAACAAATATTGCACTGATACATGGCATTAAAGACCTGCTCAGCGGCTGACACACACAATGTGGAGAATGGCTTTAAATGTCATCATGTAGTCAAAAAATACGCTACAAGAGACTAGACAATTAATTCCTTTTCTTTCCTAAATCAATACCTGTTATGCATGTAATACTTTGCAAAGCATCTGTCACATGAAACATCAGGTAACTGTTCATAACATAATAGGTTTCCAACATTTCCCAAGATGGTTTCGGTTATATTCAAATAAAATCAAGAATGCTGCATAAAAATATATAAAACACGTCAACTTGCAAATGGAAGCATGCAAACTGTGGCGATGAGAGAAACCCTGAGAATCCCTGTGGCACAGCAATATCGTTAAAGTGCTTCGTGCTATTTCTCTACAATACATGAACCCTAAAATAAGTAATGAGTATGTTTATTATAAACATCTGTGTGTAGATGTGTTAACGTCTCTCTCCTCTCTGCAGATTAACAGTCCACAGGTTGGCTGCTCGGACTCTGATTCGCTCGCTGGAGATGGAGGAGAGAGAGCGTAAAGGAGAGGAAGATGGAGGAGTGAAGAAGAAGGTGGTGGAGCTCAGTGTCCAATCAGGAGTGAGCAGTGCCTTCACTGCCTTCATTGCTGTCAACAAAGACAACAGCGAAGCTATTCAAGGACCTCTGGTGCGCAGAAATGTTCCAACACCCAGTAAGTGTTTCCAAGAAAGTTAAAAACTGAAGTTACCTTCTACTTACTAGATACTGGCTGACCATGAATGATAATGTAGCTTTAACATTAATAACATCACTGATCATCTACAAATCACTGTTTTCATTTGTTTTGGAGATGAGAGCGAGCATTTGTTTCGTGCTCACAGTGTGTTTGCGTGTGCACATCTGTTTGTATGTAAGAAGTTCAACTGTTGACATATTTTGAACTATTTTAACTGCTTGTTGTTAGTCGTCGTAAGAAGCTCAGAAACCAGTAGTTTTGTTGATATTTTTTGTTTAGCTATTGTCTTGGCACATATCTTGACCTCATACTTTTCTTTATCTCAAAGGGATGATGGCCTGTAGTATGCCGAAGTCCTGTGGTGTTCCTGTGATTACTCGTAAGTAAAATTTCTCCAAAGCTGAATCGGAGTGGAACACATATCTGTGTATTTCTACACTTTTGAGATATTTTGAACTATTTTAACTGCTTGTTGTTATTCGTCGTAATAAGCTCAGAAACCAGTAGTTTTGTTGATATTTGTTGTTATTTATTGTCTTGGCTCATATCTTGACCTCATACTTTTCTTTACCTCAAAGAGATGATGGGCTATATGCCCCGGCCTGATCCAATGTCCTGTGGTGTTCCTGTGATGGCTCGTAAGTAAAAATCTCCAAAGCTGAATCGGAGTGGAACACATATCTGTGTATTTCTACACTTCTGAGATATTTTGAACTATTTTAACTGCTTGTTGTTAGTCGTCTTAATAAGCTCAGAAACCAGTAGTTTTGTTGATATTTTTGGTTTAGTTATTGTCTTGGCTCATATCTTGACCTCATACTTTTCTTTATCTCAAAGTGAAGAACAGCTGTAATAAGCGTCGGCGTGGTCCGATGTCCTGTGCTGCTCCTGTGATGGATAGTAAGTAAACATCTCCAAAGCTGAATCGGAGTTATTTCTCCAAATAGACTAAATGGATGGGAACAAAACAACAACAACAAAAACATGTCTCTGGCAGAATTGCTCTGCCTGCTTATTTGTAGATGTAATGTGATAAAGTGAATGTAAAGTACGAGTTGTTTTGGCTCCAGTGTGCTTTGGTAGTCATTGACGTAAGAGACATGCGATTGCATCGTGCAGCAAGTTAGGAAGTTTGAACTGTTGTGTGTTTTCATGGAGGCATGCTTGTGCTCCACTCGTATTTTTCTTTTTCTTAACACTGTAAACATTTATATAGTTTTCTTTATCTTTTTAACCTCAAAGCTGACCCTAATCTACCTTGTGACTTTGCTGTTCCCAGCTATTTTAGTACTAAATGTAAGTACACAAGGCAACTGTGATTTTCACACACAGTACTGTGTATTCCTATAAAGACAGTACATGGATAGACACGGAGCAAACAGCATGAACTACTGTATGTAGGAGTTCTGGCAGTCCTGGACATAAGCAACATATAATTGCCCAGGACTCTCAGCAGATTCCTCGTTGCTGCTCACATTTATTGAGAGCTTCCTTCAAACAGCAGAACCTTCTTCGTTACCTTGTTTTAAGATCCTTCTAGAGTTGTCATTGTCCCACATTAAAGAGACATGCCATTGGGGGACACGTTGCTGCACGTGGACTTATTATGAAAACAACTTCTAGGCAGACTGCTGAGAGGAATAAATAATAATGAAGGAATATTTCACCAAAATGACCAATGTGGCTCTTGTGTTTCCTTTTATACTAATACTACTACTAATAATGATTTAAATTGTTTCTTTTCTTTGAACTCTGCCCCGGTTTCTGGTGCAGTGGTTTATACTTTGAGAATTTCTGCGTCTCACAATTTAAGTCCCTTCCTTGTATTTACTGTTGTTGTCTTTGTGTAATGTTCTACGTCTCCTTTTCTCTTTAAGCGATGGACAAGGGAACCACATTTGATGCTGGTGACGTTCCATGTAGCTTAAATGGTAAGTAAGGTTACTGAAGATACACCTAACCGAACTGTTGGGTTATCACCATGTCATTTGGTACACACATTCATGTCTCCCTCAGGATGAAATGTAATACGTTTGGTGATTTTCGGACTTTAAATCCAGTGCTTTCATCAAGTCAAACTTTTTATTTGACCAATACTTTGATTAATGACCAAATACTTGCAAAACTAATGACATCAGCTCGTCAGCTGTATTTTTTGTTTATAGCTAATTAGCTAATTAGCAGGTAATGATGAAAGGTGAAGACCGATTCCAAATAAGAAGCAACAATATTATTTGGAAAGAGAAATGTGAGTCAGTGTTTTCCAGTTTAGCATGTCACGTTTCAGTTCACTCATATTTCTTTCCTGTAATATACTGGTATCTATACGTCAGTATCAAATAGGAAAACAATAAGAAAAAAGACAAAACTAAAACGATTGTTCTAAATACGTATCAGTCCAATAAGCCACAGAGATCATTTTTATCTTCTCGCTGTGATCTTTCAGCTTTCTCCTCAGAAAGACGCTTGCCCAAACAGCCACCCAGAGACCCTTTGCTGCAGCTGGTCTCCCTCCAGAAGGCAGCTGGCTGCTGGGTGCTGGATCCAGCTCTGGCTGCTGCACTGGGAAAGACCAGTGAGGAGGTGGAAAGGCCCAAGCCTGCATCGGTGGGTTACTGTCAAATACAACAACATAGATTAATAAGGGACTTATTTTTAATGGGAAATTTAACTTATTGAAGGTTTGTTTCTGTTTGAAAGTATTTTTCAGAAGTTATTACGTTGTTAGGAAGTCAGATTTTTCCCTTTGTGCTATATCTGCTTTGTTCTTTTTGATTTTGTTTTGTATTCTTTGATTTGGTGAATTAGGTGAACCAGGAAGTGTGGGCCACCATTCTGGCTCTGATCTGGCTTCATGGTTTCAAGATGGATGCTCAGGAAGAGTGGGAGCTTCTGGCTATGAAGGCTGTGTCATGGCTCCGAGCTCAGAAAGGTAAAAAGCATAATTTTAAGTGTTAATCCGTTGTTTTTTTTACAATGTGTGCTCTTTAAAATCAGCAATTCAATCTCCTCTTCTGAAGCCCTATTTCGTATTTGTTTTTTTCAGCATCCTGTGTGACAGAGTGTGTGGAAGCAGGAAATGCTCTGTTGGGTTGCAACGTGCAGAAAGACACCCTGGGGATCTGATGTTTTCATGAAAGTGCACTTTTCCTTCCGGACTGGTACACGGAAGCAGATTTATTCCATAACCTTTTTCTTTTCTTCAACATGAAACTCTTTACACTATTTACATTTCATCATACAATCATTCTTTTCTTGCCCAACTCCATAGAGATGGATTGACATGCACTTAAAACCTGTTATGCACGAGGCCCCCAAATTTGGGGTCTTCGAGCTTAAGGTTGGGTAGCACATGTCGTCGAAAAAATGCACATATCGAGAGCCAATATAATGCATGTATACATGTTATATACCAGATTAAATTAAAAAGGTCTGGGCAATACTATCATCTAAGCCATTTTTACAAACTCCAAACACAATTCCACACAACTAATATAATCAACTAGAAGATTTACCACAATATCACGTATTTTTCACCATGACTCGGCGAGCTGCACACTCCGCTCCGAGCTACCAAAACAAAGCTACAAGCTAACACGGACAACTGAGGTATCAGAAAGCAAGACAATTCGACACAGAATCCAGAGATATCTTCAGAATTTCTCTCCATGAAACCAGTACAGAGCTGTGAGCAAACAAACGCCAGAACAACAAACCGCTTCACCGGAAAAAAATCTTAGCAGCACCTCACCTTTACGCTGAATCATGAAAGGTACGGCATAATTCCTCGTTTCCCGGCTAAATACACTGTTGCTACGTATATCCTGTCTGTTTCTCATCTATTTCCTGGAGAAAGGGGCGTTAACCAAGCTTGTGGGAAGGAATTTGACTTTTGGTGATTGGAATTTTACGCAGGGCGAGGAGCGTCGCGGTTTTGATTTTTACTGGCTAACGATTCTGTTAATCAAGCCCACGTCATGCCCACTGCATTCCTGAGACTCTGACGCGTCGAACGAGGTGTCATAGTCTGAAATTGACCAATCATAGGCTGAGAAAGGCCCACATACACACAAGGAAACTGAAATTCAGACAAGAAAATCCCATGGATGACAGACAGAAACAGGCTCAGAGAGGATTCAGGCTGTCAAAATGATGCCAAACTGCTGTATTTGGATAGATTGAACACTATTAGTGATAAAACAAGTGAAATATATAGTTATATAGTATATAAAAGTACAATGGAACAGCTGGAACAGCTGGTTCCAAAATGACAATTTAGCTTGACCTCGCGTGACCTCTCTGTACTAAAACCTCTCTAACTTTTTTATGCTTCACTTATCAAAGCAAATATTTGCATAGAGACTGCTGACATGTTGTGCTTTCTTTTCAGGCAAACCTGAAACTTTTCAATTTGAGCTGTGTGCCATCTTCATTTACTCTTAACCAGTAACATATACACTGATTTTACACATCTGACCAAATCTCACAAGTGTTACCTTTATTATAACATCAAAATTATTCAAATAGACCTTGTAGTTAGAGAATTACAGTCTTTTTAGTATGGGTGTGCAATTTTCGAGCAGAGGCCTAAAAATAGGCTCAGAGCAGAAGAGGGTTTACTGAACTGTAAAAATAGGTTAATACTAAAGTACTAGCCTCTAATTATCCAGTATCTGTAACTGATGGGGTGGAAATCCCTCCCTGTGTCTGAGTAACATTTTATATGTGACAATACAGCTGTCAGTGACGACGTAAAATGATGATGATTAATATGTGTTACAAATTTCAATGTACTGCAAATGATAAACTATTGATGGTCTCTCTCCTCTTTGACACAGAGTTTCTCTCTGAAAAGCTCAACCATGTTCCTCTGCTTTTCTGTTCATATTCTATGCTGAATACTGCAAATATGCATATCCCATCAGTCTTAATAGGCATGCCAATTATCCTCAATTTGGTGCTGCCATTAAAATGCTGCCATTAAAATGCTTACAATGTAACTTTTTATCTAAATGAAACGACAAATATGGGGTTGACTTCTGTCAATAAATCATTTCTTCTTCAAAACAAATAAAAAACTCTGCAAATGGGCTAAGATCAGTACTGTAACAGTGCAATAGCCTACTATCTCCACCCCATGCTTTGTCATGAATCAAGCGCACCTCATACGCTAGGCATGTCTGAGGAGTTACAGTCGAAGTCATTGAAGTGTTTACACACTGAAGCTTTCCGCAACTGCGAACTCCTTAAATGTAGAAATCTCGACTGCATCATTTGTGGTAGTGGGGGACTGCGTACACGCTCTCCCCTGATAACGTGTGAAATAATAAACTAATAACCTGGCTCAGGGAGATAGTTGGTAGAGGAGGATTGATTGTATAAGTTAATCAAAAGGTTTGATGTTGACGTCTGTGAACCAGGTCACGACTGTTATATAAATTGGGATTAGTAACTATTGCGTCTCTTTCTGCGAAGCATAATAAATTCCTGTGATGTTATTAATATATCCTCAC